GTCATCTTATTCTGACTTCCATATTGTTGTTCTGGTAAATATTCTCTATTGTTTTTATAACATTTAGTGGAATTTCTCTATCGTAAAGAAGGTGAATTACATCTTTAAGCTTTACTTTATCGAACGCTTTCTCAGGTCTATTAGACATATGAATGCTGTGAATGCTGGTCTGTTATACTCTAGTGCATTTCTCGGTAATCTGTTTTAATGATGAATACTGCATCTGTGCACGATCTTCCTGTGCGAAAACCCTGCTGTTCATACCGCTAAGGTAATTCTCTGATTATTTGGCCTTGCAATATTTTGGTTGTAAGCTTTAAAGTGGTGTTTAATAAGTTGATACCTCTGTAGTTTTCAGGTTGTTTTTTATCCCTTTTTTTGTATAGTAGGATAAGCTCGCTTTTCTCTTCCACTCTTCAGGTATTTTATTATGTTTGATGATTTTTATTAGATCCAGATCAAGAGATAAAATATGTAGAATCGAGATAGCCCCGCACGACATTTTAAAAATGAGGTAAATCTTCTGTAATGATAACTTGAAACTTCAACTTCGAAAGCGTATGGTTAAAATGCTACATTTGGTCAGTCCTCTTATACGGTGTCGAAGCAAGGTTATTAAAAATATCCACCATTAATCGTCTGGAGGCCTTTGAAATGTGGCCTGCACAGACGTATACTAAAAATTCCATGGACGGCTATGCTGACAAATGTGGCAGTCCTTGAGAGAGCAAAATGCTGCTCGCGAGCTGCTTGATAACATCAAATGTAGAAAGATGGCCTATTTTGGACACGTAGTAAGGGGAGACCGATATAATATTCTTCAACTTATTAAGATGGGTAAAATCGAAGGACGCAGAGGAATTGGTAGAAAGCAGGCCTCTTGGTTGAAGAATATCAGAGAGTGAACAGGAATAAAGAAAGCTGAGCAACTCTTTAGAGTAGCTCGAGACAGAGACACTTTCGCCATGTTAATCGCCAACGTCAAGGGACTTGATAGGGCACGTTAAGAAGAAGAAGGACATCTCTGGTAAAAAACCATGTTGTTCTGGACAGGGCCTATCTCCAAAGTAATTCAAAATATTGTTATAAAGCACATTCTCGTATATCTTAGCAATTGAATTGATGACAGATATAGGCCTATACTTCTCAATGTTACCAGCATTACCAGATTTAAATATAGGTGTTATAACTGCATGCTTTAAGCTATCTGGAAATTTACTTTGTTTAAGGGACAAATTAAAAATTAGTGCGAAAGAAAAGAGTCTCTGCACAACCTTTAAAAATGTATGCTGGTATATTGTCATTACCTTTGGCTTTTTTTTTGGTTTTAGTCTTTTAATGCGTTTGGAGAATATTCTCAGCTGTTATTTCAAAAAAGTAAAACCCCCCCCTGATTCAGTGTACTATTGAGACTATTTGATCTTTGAAATACAGAGCCATAGTATTACTGCAAATACATTGGCAATATCTTTACAGCCACTTATGTCCACACCCTTATAAGAGATCTCTGTTGGAATTGTATTATTTACACCACGGATTTTATAAAGGACCAAAAACTACTAGGGTCATTTGTACATTATTCTCAATATTTTCATTGTGACATCTATTTGCTTTCCTACTAAGCTATTTCAGTCCTCGTCCTCAGTGATTTATATTCAGCCAAAACCAAAGCACTTGCAGATTTATTTACAAGCAATGAAGACGATTCTGTTGGTTGTTCTTAATACATTTCTCGACTGTTTTTTGGGTACTTACTGATCAATGCATGCATACAGCTTTTCATAAAACAACTACACACATACATCCACATCCAAGCACCCCTCCAACTCTGTACAGTCCATATCTTGAATGAGTCCATATAAAAGATGATGTGTAAGACATAGTAGAAAAATAGATTTTTAAGTTTGACTTGTAGTAGTAAGCACTCAATATGACAACTTACATCGATTTGAACTGGTTCTACCCTAAAGTTCTTCTTTACTGCCAGCAGGACACCACCAACCCTGGTTTTTTCATTACTCCTGTCTTTCCTGTATACAGTATATCATTGATTTACCAGTTCAATATCCTTTATCCCTTCTGTTAGACAACTTTTAGTTATTGCAATAAAATCATAATTTTCTACTGCAACTGCGGCAAAAAAATCGTGGCACTTTGTCCTCAATTCTCTGGCATTTTGATAATAAAACTTTAGGTTTCTGTTGGAGCTATTACCTGCTCCACTTCCTGAGCATCATTCACCTAAAAATACAGAATGCCACAAGCAAAAAGCTATACAAAACAGATAATTTTGCACAAAGCTTATTGACGTTACCTGGTTGTCGCGGAAAGTACGTTAAAACGTCTATTGACGTACCTGACCAGGTTCTAATTTTGTTAAGATTCTCTTAAACCAGCGCTCAAATATTTCAGAAGTCATTTCTTTATGACAATATTTCTTGTTTCTCTTGACTCAAATTCAAGCAAACCATCATCAAGGAACCCTGTATCACTTGCTATATGGGTAATGATTAAACGTCGTCCTTTTGCTGATGGAGCTTTTAATCCTGTAAACCAGCCTTCTATAAATGCTTCTTTTAACATTTAAATCGTGCCAAACTTTTCCTATTGTATGACCTTCGGTAATCCAGGTTTCATCCAAATAATATATTTTGCGTCCAATGCTGCGAATTTTGCGTATTTCTTTTAAATACTTTCGTCTCTACACAATAATTTATTTTTTTTTTCGAATAACATACTTTTTCTGTTTTACATAATATCGAAAGTCCATTTCGCGCATAGTCCTGATTAATACTCTACGAGATATCTTGGGTAAGAAGTAATCATTTTCGAGCTCTTAAGAACTTTTTCAGTGTTGGGCTTTCACTCCGAAAATACTTTTTACAAAACAAAAATACACTTTTGACAGATATTGCAATATGTGCTCAAGGAAATAGTTTTGAAGAAGTGGAGAAGAAAGAAAACGCAAATTAAACGGGTAGTTTTCGACTGCCGCTGTATACATTTATATTTTAGGATATTCAGCGTTTAAACGATGAAATTACTTTCCAAATAGTGGATTTTTATTTTGTATGTAATGTAATATCCCTTTCAAACAAATCAGTCGTTCCTGTTCACTTCATATGAAACAGAACATGTTACTAAATAAACTATATTTTATAACTTAAATATTAATAGCGCTTAAGATATTTAAATTAAATACAGTGGGTGATCAAATTATTATGATTAGTCACAAAAGTTTAGGTTTTTCAAATTTGTTCAAAAATTTAATAATAAAATCATATTCTGCTATACGATTAAGGTATGGCAATATATTTTGTCACTAATAACCTTACTTATTTGACGTTTACAGCTCTAGAACTGTCATTTGTGTCCAATTACGTAACAACATACACATTGTGGTGAATTTGAGCTTGGAGTTTACAACTGAATTTGTATGTTTTTGTATTGTTTTTGAAAGATTGGTATCGTTTTATCTTTAAAGTATGTTTTATTAATATATTAGCGGCGATTGTGAGTGAAAAAAACTATCAGTTTTAATTTTAAAGACATTTTTAAAACATTTTGATTTTTGAGAAGAAAATCATAATGGGTAAGGCTAAAGACGTCCCTGTGTCTAAAATGGTATAGATAAAGAGAGTTTTATTGAATACAAAGCTTTCTCAACGTCAGATATCTCAACAATGCCAAGTAGCGCAAGCAAAAGTGAGCAATATTAAAAAAAAATTGATACCAACAAACCCCTGACTCACCAGCGTGCCCAAAAATGTGGTCGAAAGCGTGTCACTACACCCAGAGACGAAAGAAAAATGAGGAATATCTTCGTAAACAATGGAAATAAGCCAAGAAGAATCTGAATACAGGACTTATTCTTGAAGCTGGGATGCCAGTTTCTGACATGACCGTCCGCAGAAGGCTTGCTGAGCAAGGTTTCAAATCATGTCGCCCTGCCAAAAAACCAAAGTTGACCATCGCAATGATGAAAAAGATACTGGGATGAGCCAAAGAACACCAAAATTGGACAATTGAGGATTGGAATAACGTAAATTACGTCACTACTAAAGTTCAAATCCCTATAACCACTGTTTTTATCCTACAGTTTTTTTATTCACAGGTTTGTTTCTCCGATGAGTCTCAGTGGAGATATTCATGAATAAGTCGGCCTTCGTCCGAAGGCGAGTGGGTGAAAAATATAACAAGGATTGCATAGTTGAGCAATTAAAGCATCCTCTTAAGATCATGGTATGGTCTGTGATCAGCAGTAAGGGTACAGGGAGGCTGTACATTGTGAATGGAATGATGAATCGACATCAGTATATTGAAATTCTGGAAAGAAAGCTCATGCCACAAATCAAAGACTGGTATGGCGAATCGGAGGATTTTACCTTTATGCACTATTCAGCACCGTGCCATAAGGCAAAAACAGTAACATCGTACTTGGAACAAAAGAAAATTAAAGCACTGAAATGTCCAGGTAATTCCCTAGACCTCAATCTGATCGAAAATCTAATGAAGAGGGAGATTGCCCAGGAAACTGTCACAAATAAGCAGCAGTTAATTGAGACACTCATTGACACCTGGCACAGAAACGATAAAATAAAAGAAGACTGCCTGAGAAACATTCAATGCTTGTCAAGGAGGATCAAAGCTGTCATCGAAGCTAAAGGAGGTCACACAAAATATTAAAAAGAAAAAAAATATTTTGAAATTTTGTAAAATAACGTGTTTATGATCTATTTTTATACTATAATCACATCAGTAGACGCTTATATGCAGTTTTATTCTTTATTAAACAGCAAAATACAAAGTTTTTTGAAGTGATCATAATAATTTGATCACCCACTGTAGGTATTATGGGTCTCTGATTGGTAGATTGTTCCAGAGTTCTAGAATTTTTATTTTTTTGTGCCGTGTCTGTGTTTATCATATAACTGCTGTCTAAATATTTAAATTTTTGACTTCATATTTTCCGTATTTTAATAATGACTTTCGAATTTTAGGTCCATAACGAAGTCATATTATAGAAATTCAGTAGGTGCCCTTTTAGTTTACGACATATGCAACAGAAACAGCTTTGACAACATACCCGCATGGATGGCAGAAGCGAGAAGACACATTGAACCACACAGACCTGTATTTGCTCTAGTAGGATGTAAGTTAGATCTGGTTAACAACGGAGAACAAAGGCAAGTATCAAAAGAAGAAGCCAAAACTTTTGCTGATCAACACGGTCTCTTCCAAGTCGAAACATCTGCCAAAAATGGTCACAACGTGGAAGAAGCTTTTAGATGCGTAACTCAAGAGGTTTTTAATAGAATACAGAGCGGAGAATATAAGGTAGAGGATGGTTGGGATGGTATAAAGACAGGGTTCTCTAGACCTACTGGTTTGAACTTCAACTTGGTTGAAGCTGAACCAGCCAAATTTTCATGTTGTTAGTTTTTTATTTAGATGTACCTGATTTTACCAACTAATGATTTTTCTTTTATGGTACTACCAAATTACAAAATCTCTGTGATTTTAACCCATTAAAACTTGAAACTATTTTAAATGCAATGCTGTTTTAAAATTTGACTAAAAATGTTCAAAAATTCCCATTTTCTATAAATACAAAGGTAATATGCAAAAAATATATGTCTTTGTGACAATTTTGTTATATGTTTATACACACACTTGATACATGATACACTGTTTATAAAGCATTTTTCATATAAAAAAAGCTTTCACGTCATTCAAGATTTACGTCGTCAGAACCCCACAGCGTTGCCAAAACATCAGAATAGTTAGTAAGTGAGGAATTTTAAATGTCAACTTTGTCAAACTTTTATATTAACAGTAAATACACTTAGTTTTAAGACTACTATAACACATTAAAATACATCAGAAAACATTTTAATACAAAATTATATATTCTAAATTTTAAACTTACCTCTTTTAGGGCTTTAATATTAAAAACGTCCCGCCATTATTTCTTGTTCAAAATAATCTATCTTATATGAAAGCTTATCAGCTGTCTACAGACTATTTATTTGTTTTGGCATAGCACAATTGAAATACATAACAATAATTAGTTTTTAAGCCTTATAATCTAAATTTAATATGTGTTTATAAATACAATTTATTAATATATATTATATTAGGATCAAATTGTGTAAGAAATCAAACATAAACAAAATTCCTACTCTACAAAAGCGACAACACTTTATACACTTTTGCCACACGCTTAACTGTCAATAAAATTTGAAGTATTTCGTATCAGTTGCGTACAATTGTCTAATATATTTAATTAAAATTATTATTTTGTGGAATATTAGACTTATTGAGAGTTATTTCATAAAATTTATATTATTAATAATAACAAATGTTATTTAATCTGGTTATTTAATCAATAATTCTAAAATTTCTAATATAATGATGATTACATTTTTCTGATTATTACACCATGTTGACGCCTATGAAAGATCGAGCAGTTCCGTATGGGTTTCGTATTATTAGCTGTGTTAGGAAAATTTGAACTCGTAAGGTTGATGTTCTGGAAATTTTAAATACAAGTGATGTCACTTTGTACAAATCGTGACGTGCAAATGTTTTACTTTGAAAAATAGTATACCTTGGATACATGATATATACATACAGGTTGAGGTTGTGATAAATTCATATACATCAAGGTTACATGTATAAGAATCTGACAGTGCACGTAGAAATTCTTGGGGACAATTGTTGGGAAAAAGTTTTTCCATATGTATAGTAGATATACATATCGACTGTATTTAGTATTAATGTGACTAAGTGTGCAATAGGTTTTGCGTTGTAAGTTGAAGCCAGCGGTCTAGGTCTTTCATTTATGCAGAGCATATTGGTGTTGCCTTTGGCTACAGTCTTTTGGTGAATCCACTTTTATTGAACCGGTTTTTGCGGTCATTTCAACAGTTTTTTGGATATTTTTCCAGAGAGTGGTCTATTTTGGTTTGTGTCTTTAATATCATTGCGTTTTGGTAGTTCTTCGTTGGTAAATATCGTTCTCTAATAATTTGTCAGCTTGTTAAGTGAATAGATATGAGGATTTGGTGTCCCAGTCATCATTCTCATGGTATTTTTCAGTTGAACATTGATCTGGATGTGTAGTGGATTTATTGTGTTGGAATGACTTCTGGAATGCTGTTATTCAGTTAAGCTTAAACCTTGATATGATCTCTATTAATCTGTAATATGCGGAATATTTAGCAGAGAAATTAGTATCAAGATTAAGCCTAAGTGAGCATGCTGCTGCTCCTCATATTGATAAGATTTTCTAGTGAATGAATCTGTCTACCTTTTAATTAGCTAGGGTTACTTTAAACGATCATATTTTATCTAAAGCATCTGATACTTAAAGTAGCCATATTAGCCCTCAGTTAATGGGCTAACTAATCATCATCATCTTCTGGTTTTTACAGTATGATAAGAAAATTTCCATTTAAAAATCTACTTTACTTATCATACGGTTAGTATAAATGTCCAAATGAATAAAAAAACTAGAAAAACCAATCTTTAGTGTAAAACAATATGATCATAAAACAACTAGTAAGATTACCGAATGAATTAAAACTGAAAGTATTAGAAATGTTGATATTACAAAGAATGCTAAAGAGTTCATGGACATAACTCAGAACAAATGAAATGTGTTTCAAATGATGGAAACTAAAGTCTAAGCAACATTAGCATTTGTAAAATAGGTTAAGTAGCACATATTTACCGAGGAGAGACATTCACTTTTCCACATCTTAGAATTTCTCCTAGAGGGCAAGATTGAAAGAGAAAGGAATCATGGAAGAAGGGAATGGATTTAGTTAAAAAACTGAGAAATTGGACAGGCTTTACGTAAAAGAGAAGAGCTAGTAAGAAATACAATAGATAGGATTGCTTACAACAGAGCCATTGATAAGCTACAGGTGCAAATCGAAAACTCCAGTGAGCAGTCTCTCCAAAATTAGATAGAGATGAGATGTGAACTTTTAGGACAATTTCAGTTGGAAACTAGTAAAGCTAGCCAATAAGCCTACTTCGATGGACGTCACACAAAAATCTTAATAGTCTCTTATAGCCATAAATATAAGGTACTACCAAACGTGGGCAGGTTATTAAAATATAAGGATTGAAATGCACACGACTAGGTACGATTACATTATGAAATAAATTATGTGGCTTATAAAATATCTTTTGTACGACATCCTTAAACTGCTTGGGTTAGGTGTGTGATGTCTGAGGCGGTAAATAAAAGACGTTTCACTTTCTCCACGTTTTACTTCGAGGCTACTAGATTACAATGCAAAAAATGCCCAGTCGTCTTGTCATACCCATGTCGTGTCAATCCCCAGTCGTCTTGTGTGTCATACATGGTTTTTACCCTTCCACAACCGCCTGCTCCAGTCGAGTGGAGTGACAACCTCTTTGATGGCACTTAGGCATTCATTAAGGTACATAAAAGTAATTTTATGTCCAAATATCATAGTGTGGTTGAAGATTTTAGAAGTCTTTCAGTTGCTTCATCTTGCCGCTCATTTCTTCATGGTGGATATTGAAGGTAAAGAGTCGCCATTAAAGTTTACATACAGCAAATGAATTACAGTCGGTGTTAAACCTTCCTTTACGAATAATTTTTCCACTACTTGATATTCGATTCTTATATTTGCAACACTACGTGCACCCCAACTACTTCAAACAATGCTGTATGAAATGACGTGAAATTATACACGGCATCTACTAATAGTACTAAAAACAAATCATGCTAAAACTTGATTCTCCTATTTCTATATTTTTAGAACTGAGAACAAGGAACATTTTTTTTCACTGTAGGTGCTGCAAATTCGAATTTTTCAGATGTATTAAGTGGTTGTAGATTCAATGCTTTTGCAAGAATGTGAGTTTTGACAAATTTATATTTCTTTGAACACAACTTTTGAACCTTTTTTAGGAACACCGTTCACGTGGTACGTTATGTGTCTCAACTGGTAATACTGCTATGACGTGAGAGTTTTCATCTTGAATCTCTCTATTGGAATTAAGCTCTTTATTCACTTCGTTTAATAAATATAAAATCAAAGGCAATAAAAATAATTGTGTGAATTTGTTTGGTACCTGCACATTGTTTTTTGTTGCTGACATTATAATTACTAACAGCTCAGTTTCACTCAAACAGTGTGCTCAATCCCTGTAATTTTACCTATGGTTTAATTTTAATCTTATTGTTGCGGAGATGATAAAACATTATTAAATTAAGAAATAACTTATGAATTTTTAACCAGCAGGTTTTTATGGGTTAAAGTTAGTGTACTCTAAATAGGAGTATACGATCTAACATACGTCCAATTTTCTAATAACTTTAACTATAGTATTTAAGTTGTATAACTTGTTTATTCTTTTATTCAAATCGATTCGGCAATATATTTTTTATATTGCTAATAATACTAATTATTGAAAGTGATATTCAGGTACATTTAAGGTAGCTGGTTACTTTTTTTAACGACAGTAGACCCTGTATATATTTGGTGATTTTTTAAACATTGGTAAAATGTATTTGTATATAGTAATTTAAGTGATTAGAGAAGAAATTGGGATACTTTTGTGTCGACTTATGTATACCTAGTCAATAGAGTTTTTAGCCTGAGTAGCCCAAATTGAATTCACATATTTATTATAACATTGGCACACGGTTTGTCAACAAAATATTTTGGTTGGAGTTTATTAGTAAATTTTTAAATATTAATTTTGGTTTCTTTTCAACTGATAACCAGATATGTCCCCTTCCTTAAATCCAAATCCTTTGTAAGCTTGCATACTTCATTGTGGTTTGCAGATATAGTAGAGTTTCAACATTCTAGTCACTAAATTCTGAGAAATAATAATTGAGTTTTAACAACACTGTTGCCAGGTTGTGATTATAGATATTTTTTCAATTTTTTTATTAATAATTCACATACAGTCAAATGGTCATAGAATAACGGACTTGTTAAAATATCTTATAAAACATGACAACGCTTACTAGTGGGAAAGAACAGTAGATAATCGAAGCAGCAAGTTAGATATATATATATATATATATATATATATATATATATATATATATATATATATATATATATATAATCACTCAGTGATGGGGACTCACTCATAGGGGGCAAATTAAAATTAGCTGGGGCAGGTTCTTCTTGTCCTTCTGGCAGGAACACTAGAAGAACTGCAACACCTTGCTGAATAACTAAATATATATTGCAACGATTATGGACTAAAAATAAATTTGAAGAAAACCAAATTTAAGGTATTTACAAAAGCACAAAACATCAAAGTTAAGCTAGTACTAGATAATACAGAAATTGAACAAATATCTTCGTACAAATACCTTGGAGCATGGATCACAGAAGATACTGATCAGACAAAAGAAATAAGATGCCGCATTGAAATTGCACGGTCAACTTTTAATAGAATGAGAAAACTTTTTTGTATTCGCGATATCAATATATCGCTCCGGATAAGAATGCTTCGATGTTATATTTTTTCTACCCTTTTGTATGGGGTTGAAGCTTGGACACTTAAAAAATCCAACATTAAAAACCTAGAAGCATTCGAAATGTGGTGTTACCGACGTATTTTGAAAATATCATAGATGGATTGCAAAACAAACGAACAAGTTCTCGAACAACTAGGAAAAAAATGCGAAGTTTTAAATTCCATAAAAATCAGGAAATTGGAATACTTGGGACATATCATGAGAGGTGAAAAATACGAACTACTAAGGAATATAATGCAGGGTAAAATCAAAGGCAGAAGAAGCGTAGGAAGACGTAAAATCTCGTGGCTACGCAATCTCTGTGAATGGTTTGGATGCAGTTCAATTGAACTATTCAGAAGCGTAACCAACAAAATTATAATTGCCAGAATGATTTCCAATCTCCAATAGGAGTGGAACTTGAAGAAGAAGAAAAAGGGCAGGTTGAGACTGCAGGTTTGGGGCAAGTATATAAATGTTAAGAAAATGGATATTAAGGTAGAAATTAATCACTCAATGGAATATAAAAATAATTTATTTAACAAATGAAGTACCAAAGTGAAAATTAAAATATATTATTGAGGTTATTCACACAAATTATGATGTGTTTATTCACATGTATTATTCTATATTATCCTACAGCATACACAAGGAATAATACGAGGAAAATAACAATACCGTACATACAAGGATTATCAGAAAAACTTAAAAGGATAGGAAATAAATTCAACATTTCAACAACATTCAAAACAACAAACACGTTGAGATCTATTATGTCCAAAACCAAACCTAACAATGAACAAGAAATGACAAAGAATTGCATTTATAAAATACCTTGTGAATGCGATCAGTTTTATTTAGGTGAAACATCAAGGCCATTAAATGTTAGAATAAGTGAACATCAATCTTATATTAAAAATAGAGAATTTGATAGATCTCAAGTATGTACACACGCATGGGATAATGAACATAGGGTTCAATGGAATAATTCAAATGTAGTCCTAAAAGAAACGGATGGTAAAAAAAGAAAAATCAAAGAAGCGGCTCTAATTATGCTAAATGAGGCCAATTGTGTCGCAAATTCCTCGGCAGAATGTAGTAGGATCTGGTTACCAATATTGAAAGAGGAAGTTATTAATAAGAAAATACCAGTATTAGTAAGTCAGTAACATATAGAGGATACATCATTTATGTTTTTTAAATAACGAAACATATAAAATCAGAATTTTGGTGTTTATTGAAGGTAAACTAAATGCACGAACAAATACTTACCATGTCGGGATAGTATTATGAGGTTTTTTTCCTGGTTTTCCCTCATAATTTACTGTGGAATCACTAACAGGAGAATTTTACTGTCATCATGTCACGTGTTTGTCTTTTTAAAGACGAATTACATGCTATGATTTTTTTCTGACGGATATTCTCAAGTTAAAGTTGAGTTCATGTAATCGAATGAACTATCTTATAAGTAAAGTCGTCCCAGGAGCGCAACTCAACAATATTGGCAATATCATATTAAAGTCGTCTTCTTTAAAATGCAGAATGTATGTCTGAATTATCAATATAAATGAGTCAGATAAAATTAAATTATTAGAAGAATTTTTCACTATGTAACAAAAAACAAAATTTGTTTAATTTACTGTTTGTATTTTGAGAACGATTTCCGAAGTGGAAATTGAAACGTCAATAAACGTATTTTTATCTTTAATTGTGGCTTATTCCCAGTTAAATAGTTATTAAACCACACTTGTTTCTTGACCATTAATATATAGGTTACATAATATGTAGTTATTATACACGCCATGATGCATTTATGAATTACTTTTTTATTTCTGTTCAATATAAAAAAAAATAAACGTACAAAATTTTTTAAATATTTTTTCGACATCTGCTCATAATTTTTATTTAGTTTTCAAAGTTTTGCAAAAATTAAAAGTTATCTATTTTAAAATGTATAATATATGTCTGAATTGGACAAGAAAAAAAAGAGATAGCTTTAGTGATAAAAACGAGAAAGCTGCAGAGATCTAAATGAATAGCTAGCTTGCAGTTCTATTTAACTATTCGCAGCAGTAACTTTTTTAGATTAACACTTTTTTAATTTTTAATTTAAAACATTTAAATTGGCATGTTAATAAACAGTTAAAATTTGCAGTGTAGATTGCAGCTGAAAAAGAAGAAGGGGTATCTTAAATAATATAAAAATTGAAGGTTTAAAATTTTTTATTGTAATATGTATAGAAGTTATTAAGTAGAGTTTTCGGCAGTGGTTTTTACAGTACTGTTTATAAGAATTTGGTACTTCATATAAAAATGTTTTTTAAATAATCGTGAGCACGTTACTGTTTGATTTAATATTACTGATATCTTCGAATTTATGCTGATTTCCAATACTTTTTATTTAATAATATTTCAAACCAAAGTTTTATTTAACCTACATTATCAAATTTTTAATAAACCTAGAAAATTTCAGAATTTTCGCGTTTTTCGAACCTTTTTATCGTTAACCTTTCGTTTAAACGGATTAATGTCCAAATGAGCATTTAATAATAAGTCATCAGCTTGATTTTGTTGCTGAACTTCCTCTTTTGATTGTAACTCCTCAAGTTTATATTGAGCTTCTTCCTCATCTTTGTAATTAATAAAGAATACGTCTGGATTTACAGGCTTTGCGGTGGGACCAGGTTTTACTATAATTTTTTGCTCTTCTGGTTTTTTTACCAAAACATACACCACGGTCTTCTCCGGTGATTCCTGTTTAGGAGGAGTGATTTCGATAGGTCCAAGAGATGGAGCCGCAGGTGCTTTAATGTATACTACATTAACATGTTTCTTGTTTGGTTCGAAAAATATTCTTGGCTTTACAGCTTCTTCTTCAGGAGCGGAGAAGAAGTATACGTTTTTAGTAATCCCTGGTTTTTCGCTTTGGCTTTCAATCGCTTCATCATTTATTCCAAATGAATCGTATATAGAACCTCCACTTGTTGTACTTTGAATTCTGATTGGATTTATTTCGGAAATTAACCTTGGGGCGCTTTGCAAGCTTGGATTATTTTGTAACAATAAGCGACTAAAGTCAAACGGTGCAGATGTAGTGCTGGATATAGGACCTTCACTTGAGTAGAAACCATTATTATCAGATTCTTGTTGAATATTTGAAATATCTGATCCAAAACGTGATAAAAGTTCATTATTTATTATGTTGCTAGACTGCAGACCTTCATTTTGAAATGGGGCTGGTGATGATGAAACTGATTCTTTATTAAGTTCAAAGAAAGAAGTTGGTGGTGCACTGGTTGTTGTTGAACCAAAGCCATTGAGCAACAAATTGCTGTTCACATTTTGTCCATAACTTTGTAGATTATTTGAAAACTGAGACCCAAAACGAGATAATAAACCATTATTTAGGTTAAATGGTATGCTAGTAGATTGTAAGGCTTCATTTTGAAATGGAGCTGGTGTTGAAACAGATTCTCTATTTAGTTCAACCAATGAAGTTGGCGGTGCACTTGTCGTTGATCCAAACCCATTAAACAACAAATTACCATTTACATTTTGACCATAACTTTGTTGATTGTTATAAGAATCAGACCGCAAACCAGATAATAGGCCACTATTTATGTTAAATGGTAAGCTTTCAGATTGTAAGCCTTCATTTTCAATCGGAGCTGGTGTTGAAACAGATTCTCTATTTATTTCAACCAATGAAGTTGGCGGTGCACTTGTCGTCGATCTAAACCCGTTAAACAACAAATTACCATTTACATTTTGTCCATAACTTTGTAGATGTTGTCCATAACTTTGTAAATTTTGTCCGTAACTTTGTAGATTTTGTCCATAATTTTGTAGATTCTGTCCATAACTTTGTTGGTTATTGTAAGAATCAGACTGCAAACCAGATAGTAGGCCATTATTTAGGTTAAATGGTGTTCTACTAGATTGAAAGCTCTCATTTTCAAGCGGAGCTGGCGTTGAAACTGATTCTTTATTTAGTTCAATAAAAGAAGTTGGTGGGGCACTTGTCGTTGATTCAAAACCACCGGATAATAATCTATTATTTATGTTAACTGGTATAATGGTTGATTGGAGGTTATTTGCGAAATACGGGGCCGGAGTTGAAGATGGTTGTCCATTTATTTCTACATATGGAGTTGTTGGAGATGCGGCGGTAGTTGATCCGAAGCCTCGGAACCAATGGCTAGGTAAGCTTCTAAAAT